ACATACATACACACACACACACCTACTAACAATCTAGTGTGTTCTCTGTAAATCACACACATTTGGAAGGTGCAGAAGACATTAGTTCCTTGAATATGAGTGTGTATTAGGGTCACCTAACACTGCCAGCCCCCATTCTTGGGTCTAGATGAGGCTCAGAACTTTGTGCTTTTTAAACTGCGCCCTCAAGTGATTTAGCAAACATAATCTGAAGATCATTTCTTTATCATCTTTTTTTATGTGGTCGTTGAATTTCATCTTTTAAAGATTCGTAACACTGGTGTGAAACTGTGCTATATAAGAGAAAGGACTCTACTGTCTTCGATATTTTTTGTTCAGTCATTTTAGAAAACAAACTGAGAAGAGAGGGTGTGATCATGAGATGAGTTTCATTTGTCTGTGATCACCATGGACACTCCAGTGCAGGCAACCTGAGCGACACGTCCTGCGAGGGCTAGTGTGCTTCTGATGGGCCTGCAGGTTGTTGTTGCTTGGTCTGTGCTCATATACGCACATCTGCAAGCCTGTTCGGAACACAGGAGTCAGCGTGGCTAAATGAACCTTTTTTGTTGTTGTTGTATGGGGGATCGAACTCAGGACCTTGTGCTTACGAGGCAGGCGTGGTGCCACTGAGCTAAATCCCTGGCCTAGTTTTTAAATTTTAAGTATTCATCACCTTCTTATAGCATTCATTTTGACTTTGAAAAGGTCATTCACTTAACAAAGACTTGTTGAGTGCCCACTGTGTGCATGGCTCAATTCTGGATGTGAGGCTACAGTGTTAAATCAGGGAAAATGCCTGATTATTTTAGACTTTGTAGAAATTCAGTTCTGATTATGGAGACAGACAGTAAAAAAATATACAGACATGTATATACATATAGAGAAGAAAATAAGGGCAATTAGAGCAGGTAAAAGAGTAATAGAAAGTAAAGGGAGCCAGAAAAGGCCTCTCCTATTAGAGCAAGGATAAGAAAGACATGAGGGCACAAGCTATGCAGCTATTTCCCAGCAGCGAGAACAGCAAGTGCAAATGGCCTGTGGCAGGAAGATGTGATAAGGTGAAGAATAGCAAAAGGACAATGTGACCATTAGAACAAGGGAGGATAAGAGTGTTAGAAGATTCAGTGAGAGAGGTGGCCAAGGGGATGATCACACAGGATGCTGTGGGCCGTGAGAAAGACTTCTGATTTTATTCTAAATGTTCCAGGAACATGTGATATGATATGACTTCCTTTTTAAAGAGAAGTATGGAAAGTAGACTGGATTGTTGAGGGAACAATTTCAGGACCTCATAAAGCAATCTCGTATACAAGATATAAGTCATATCCTTCTATTTTTTCTTAACAAATTAGTGTACTTAAAATGACATTAAAGCCAACGTAATCTTCTTAATCTTCATCCTGCAAGTATCTTGTTGCTAAAACTTTCCTATTTTCAATGTATTTATTCTGTCCACAAAGATGACTGATGTTCAGGACCTAGTGCTCACACTCTGGAGATATCAAGGGAGTATCAATACCAATATCTACATATATATTATATATATATAATATATATGTATGTGTATATATAAAATACAGCCATATATAATATATAGACAATTTGGGGGTTTTTTTGAGTCAGGGTCTCACTATGCAGTTTAGGCTTGCCTTGAACTCACTCTCTAGTCAAGGCTGGCCTTGAACTCATGGTGATCCTCCTGGGTCAGCCTCCCAAGTGCTGGGATTACAGGCGTGCACCACCATGCCTAGCTTTAGACACCTTATCTATATAACATATAGATATCTCCAGTGTATGAAAGGGTTCATGAGTGCACAGAGTGATAGAAGAGGTATTAGAATAAATGTCCTTTGACATAGGTGGTTGAAAGGGGAAGAGAGTTGGCTAGGGTTGAATGATGAAGAACAGACAAAGCTGTTTGAAAGAGCTTTCCATAGCATACACCAAGGCATGGCAGCATAAACAGGTTTGTTGCAGCACATTCTTTGGTCTAGCTGAAGCATAGAGTGCATGGGAGTACACTTTGAGGTAAGGGTAAAAAGTCAGGTCATTAACCATGGAAGCCTGGTCCCACTGGAAATTCAGTTGTCCTCTTGTAGACATTGGAGGATGGCCAGGAATTTGTCAGCGAGGGCACAGTGACATTTGTGGCTTGGGAAGAGGAAAAGAAGGATGGTAAAAGGGGAAGGCTAGTGGGAGGCTTTCAGAGGGATTCTTTCCTGGATGGGAAAAGGGGAGGAGGTGAAAAAGATGATAGTTACTTGGATCACTGGGAAGACCTGGGGTACAGGGGGAGTAGATTTGGGGAGATAAAGGAAAGTATTGTGATTTTGATTGTGAGTCAGAACATGGAAGGTGAGATACCTGCACACTTCAGGAATGTGGGTCTGGGGCTCAGGGCAGAAGCTGAACTAGAAATGGAGACCTGGACACTCCAGACAAGTCAGTGATGCTCAGGCCACAGGAATGGGCAGGGCCGCTGAGGAATGAGGATGGTGTTCATACAGTTTTTAAATATTCGTTAATGACTCCTTGCAAGGTCTTTAAATTCCTTTGTTTTTGACTTCCTATTTTCATTGCTCACTCTTGGAGATTGGTCCAGGAAATAAATTTGATGGGATTCTAACTCAAATGCCAGACTTGCTCCCTCCCTCTGGCTTCCTGTGGTGCATGTGTCCCCGCTTCTTGTAAGAATGGGCTATTATTTAGTGAATTAGAAAGCTTTTCAGGTTTCTGTGTGACATTTGCTGAGCTTTAAATTAAAACTCACATTTCAGGCTGCTTATGTTGCTCCGAAGAATTAAAAATGAAAGCTGTTCATAATAGACCAAGCACTTACTCTGAGAAACTCCTCGGTTAAGTGCTTTTCCTAAAGGATTTTGTGTTATCCTCACAACAACAGATGTGAGGGACTTTTACTACCCCCATCTTACAGGTGAGTCATTGGAGGTGCTCAAAAGCGGCGTCAGATAATGTACCTGAGCTCACTTGTCCATGAATGGCACTGCCACGGCTCCAGTCCATGCCCGTATCATTTCCTAATGCTGCTTTAAGAACCTATGATTTTCTCTAACAAAAAGCTCTCTTAATGGGTCGCGTTAAATGAAAGCTATTGGATATGAAATCTAAAGTCTTATTTTGAGAGTCAAATTTCTAGGCTTTATTCAGATTGTTGAACAGTCTTATATTTCAAATAAAACCTAAATATCTATTGTATATTTTAATATTAGCAATGTTCAAGAATTCATTAATCAGGTGCTCATTTTCTGACACGGTTCTCAGTCATATCAAGCTAAAATACTTTCAAGGTTCTATCTAGAAGCAGCCAAGATACAGATTATTTGGAATGACAGTGATCTTGCCTCAAAATGTCACTAGAAAAGCCTGGTCGCCCCAGATGCAAGGGCGATGTGGTGTGGGAAGACTGGTTAGAGCTTTTAGAAATGAATCAAGCAGACCAGTGCCTGAGCCTTACCTGCTTGCTAAATTCAAGCTCTAGTTTTCTCGTCTGTAAACGCCGGGTAATAACAGTACCTACCTCACAGGACTGATACTGGTATAGCTGCAAGTGAAACATTTAGAATGGTAACTGACATGATGTAGTGCTCAATAAATACAGTCACATCCACTGAAAATGTGGAGAGCAAAGAAACAGATGTAGTAACATTTTAAAATCTTAGAATTGCAGCTGAGTAAAACTGCAAAATAATGAAAGGACTCCACTCATTCATTTATTCATTAAAGTTTCCCACACTTTGGGCTCTGATCTGGGTACCGGAAACATGAGCATGAAGACGATACAGAGTAAGACATGTCCCTGGCTTGGCTGCTCAGACTCTAGAGTCTTCTCAGCCTGTACCCTTAAAGTCCACTGTATATCTCTCACAAGGCAAGTCACTGTTTCACAAAGGGGATAGCTGCTCATTTCTGAAATGCTGCATGTGGCATGTATAAGAACGAGAATAAGTTGTTGTCAGAGAATTGATGTCTTTGGCATGATAGTCCCCAGACCCCTGGGGAGGAGTTAATGCTCTTTTATACTGAATAGTCAGTCTTTTTATGGTTGTCACTCTGTAGCTCTGGCAACCAAGGACACCTTGTTCACTTGATAGGTGAAGATGTTTCCAAAGAACTAACCACGCTCACATGACCTAGAGAGGCAGTCTATAAGGAACAGGGAGCAGGACTGGGTGGGTAACAAAAATAGTACAGGACCAAAGGTCAAAAGAGAAGGTTAAGGTTAACATGCAAGAGTACACACTTTGTCAAAAGACAGAGCTCTAGGCTTAAATCCCTGGACAGTTGCTGGACTTCTCCAAACCTGGTTTTTCTGACCTAAATCAGTGGTGTTACAATATTGAGTTTGTAAATAGTTGTGATATATCTCTAGTGCCTTTCCATAGTAAGTATCTGGTGTGTGATAACACTCAGCGTCATCATGGCCACCATTTCTCAGTGACAGTAGTTCAGCTTCTGTATCTGCTTTGGATATTTTGTAAGAGTGTTGGAGGTGCATGTGCAAAAGTATAAAATTAGGCACATTTATGGAATTAACCCAATGTAGTGTCTGCCCCTACTGTGACACACAGGGTAAGGTTCGATAGCCAGTCCTACATGACTGCATGCATCAGAGTGAAAGGCAAGGCCACCAAGCCTTCCTTAGCCATGCTGGCCCGCTGACTGGCTCCCTCTCTCCCGCAGGCACTTCCTCTTTAAGACCTCCTCCGGAAGCACGCCCCTGTTCAGCAGTTCCTCTCCAGGATACCCTTTGACCTCAGGAACAGTTTACACGCCGCCGCCCCGCCTGCTGCCCAGGAATACCTTCTCCAGGAAGGCCTTCAAACTGAAGAAACCCTCCAAATACTGCAGCTGGAAATGCGCTGCTCTGTCCGCCATTGCCGCAGCCCTTCTCTTGGCAATTTTGCTGGCGTATTTCATAGGTAAGTCGAGGCAGTCTTCTTCACTGTTCCTGGTGTTGAGACATGGGGCAGGTGGGCTGGACTTGTGAAGTGAGAGGCCCTTTGTCGTCTGTACGGTTTTCTTGTTGGCTCTTGAAAGAGGTTATAATGAGTGATGAATGACAGCGAGTTTTCCCTCCTGGCATCCATTTAAATCTGAGAAGTTTCTCCTTCATGATTCTAAGTGACATTTATCAGAAGTGAAAATTGAGCATCCTCATTATGAACTATGGATTGTCATTCCTACGAACCCGTTCCTCACTCACGGAGTAGCCTTCTAGACTTCTCTGTCACTGAATTTTAAGCCAGGTCTGTGATCTCAAATTCATGTAGCCTTGGTTCATTTCACTCAAAAAAACTGAATAGAAGATTAGGGATTAATGTGGCTGATGACATCTTGATTGGAGGGAAAGCTAAATTAACTTGCTTATTTTCAGAGCTGTGCAACAGAAATAGGACTGAGTAACCAGAGCACGCACCCGGGTCTTTGTACAAAATCCTATGGCTCAGTTGTAGTTGCCCTTGTCCATATCCCTCCCTTTGCCTCGGAACCCTCCTTTCACCGTGTGCTACGGAAGCTCGGTCAGGTTCACCTCTCGTGGTGGCTGTGCTTCTGGTGACTGAGTGTGGGACTTAGGGCAGCAGCTCAGTGAGGTTGCCAGGGTACCTTCCTTCCTGTGCCAAGGGTGTTGGTTTGCATCCATGGAGTGTAGCCCCGGAACTCTGGAAAGCAGCAGATGCTGAGAGCTCAGAGGCTCGGTGCCACATGCATATAAGCTTCCTGGGTAGGACACAAGGCCTGCTCACAGCTCCTGGCCCTGACAAGGAGTTCCAGTGCCGCCACTCTGTCAGCTGAGGTTGCCAATGGCAGATCTCCTGGCCCAGACAGAGGCCATGGTGACGTTTGTTGAAGTTTATTTGAAACACTTGATGGTTCTGGCCTGGTTTCAGGGCAGCTATGACAGAGCTCCCTAGTTTGGCTGTGCCATGTTGCAAAGCAAACCTATAAAACACTCACTTAAAAGAGGCTAACTCCAAAACAGTTCCCAATATGTGTGCTAAAACTCCTCCCATTTAGGAGAAAAGACTAGGCACCCTGACGATGCTTGCTTTGCCACTTCCTAGAAAGGACCCTGCCTTCCTCAGCTCAGTGGAGGCAGGAGCTTGGGGCGGGGAAGGAGTTCTAACACTTCCTTCATCTCCAGGCAGCCAGCATGGTGTCTGCCAGAGAAGAAACTAGTCTAGCACTTTACAGACCATTCGACTTCAGCTTGCCTCATGTCAGAGGAGTGTAACTGTACACCCCAGAAATCTGGGGCCCTGCCCAATGCAGACCAGTACAAGCCAAAAACCAATGTGTATTTTTTACTTTCTTCTATAGTGTGGCTCTATTTGTCTTAATATAGAAAAATAAGCATTATATCCCTTACCAATTGCATAGTGAAAACATTGACACCCCAGGGAAAGGTGCCATGTTTATCTGGAGTTTTGCAAAAGCCTTTGTGCTCTAACCCTTGATGACATGAGGACTGAGATCTGATACTCACCCACTCACCCTAATTTCAAATCGTGTCTGCTTGTGACTTCTTGGTGAAGGATGGAGTAACGGTGGGACTGGAGGAGGGAAAGGATGTGTGTGCGCCACCCCCCAGTCATTTGACTGGAATCTTTTGTGTTGTTAGAAGGAGTTAGGTAGCTGCTCAGGGACTTGGTGGAAGCAAATTGAATGTGCCTTCTGGGTCTTTGCATGATTTGGCTTTATGTCAGAAACTTCAAAAAGGATCCATGGGCTCACTTTTCAGGTTTAATATTCGGTTGGGCCATGGGAACTGCTGGGAGCCCAGGTATAGAAATTGAGGCATGCCTCTCTCTGCCAATCGCATCCCCAGTGCACCTCCTACTCCTCTTGCAGGAGAGAGATAGATGGTTACTGCCTGATTTATTGAGCTTGATAGTTAAAATAGAATAGCTTTCTGTAAGGGCGATCATATAAATGGGAAACCGTATAGGGAGAGTTTAATGTTTTAATCGGGTATGTAACTTGTAAATGATGGATTAGGAAACATATTTATCCTCAGTCTGGAGGCTACTGGAAGCTGGACCTGAGCATCTTAGCTTGGTTTATTAGTTTATAATCCATCATTTCCTATTATGTATGCTTTAGGTAAGATTATGCCTTGACCCTGGAGTATTGAAAAATAGTTTATGGCTCAAAATGAGTGATGTAACAGGCCAATTTACCCAGAGTGATGGCAGTGAATGTGGAGCTACAGGGCCGCTCTCAGCCGCTCTCCAGAGATGACCACAGGCCTGTCTGCAGTGAGGTGAGGGTCAGGACCCTAAGTGGCAGTCTTGGCCCCAGTGACCCCTTTCTCCTTAGCCTTGGAAAAGTTGTTTGCTTTCTCAGTCTTGATTTCCTAAGCACAACATGGAGGCATGGTGGTTATTTATGTGAAGAAACTCTGAAGTATGGTAAGGATTAATTAATGTGTATAAATCACTTTGAAGATGAAAAGCAGTATATTATTAATTACAAAGCTACAGGGGCATAAACAGTGCATTGCAAATGCAGAGGAGAGTGCTGTTGGAAGCAGGCAGTGATCATGCCCGCTTACAAAAAAAGCCACTGGGGAAGGACAGAGGGGCACTGAAAAACCAAGGTCTCCTTGTTAAAGAGACTGAGCTCTTAATACCTGAGTCCATTTTGGTTCACACATGACTCCATGCTCCCTAGAACATGACAGGTCCTGAAATTGAAACATCAGCCCCAGGACATTTATGGATAGGCAGTGGGCTCGGGCCTGCCAGGCACTGTGACAAATGCATCACATTATCTTCCTTGCATGTTCAAACCCGTAGAAAGGAGGCTTTCCAGAAGTGAGCAATTTGGAATAGCTCAGCCCCATGACAAGTTCGCCATAGATCTAGGCATGTGGGTGGGTGTAAAAGCAGAATGCCAGCCCTGGTGCAAATTGGAAGGCGCGGGCCTTCACCAACACAGGAAAGATCCCCCGGTTCCTGCTCATACAACTGGGGTGAGAGAACTTTGATGATATGCTCTTCTATCAGATCCTCCCTGGGCCAATTTCTCCCAGTATACAAAACACCCTGGAATAAAATACTCTGAAAGGCCGCCAGATGTCCCAGGGGACCACTTTGTCTGTTATTTGGCCCCTGGCCCTAACAATCCCTAGAGAATACTGCTGTAGGAGAATTTGGCCAGAAATGCAGGAGAGCTTCCTTCTTCGAAAATTGTCTCTCTTAATTTCTTCTTCTTTTCTTTTATTTGCATTACTAAGATTGAACACAGAGCCTTGCGCATTGTATGCGTGCACTCTACCACTGAGCGGCATCTTTTTATTTTATTTTGAGACAGAGTCTTGCTAAGTTGCCAAGGCTGTCCTTGAACTTGTAATCCTCCTGCTTTAGCCTCTCAAGTAGCTGGGATTATAAGCACCACAGCTGGCTAAGTTGTTTTTCTTCCTTAGGCGTCTCGAGTACTTTCATTACCTACAATGCCAGAAGTTCCTCTATATTTCCACATTTCTGAATCACATAAATAACGTGGATTTTCTCACTTGTTTTGTATCAAATATATTGTTTTTAATCTTTGTAGTATACATAACAATAACTGTTAGAATTTTCCCTAATCCAAGTTGGAAGAATTTCCATTTAAAGCACTTCTATATAATTATTCCATTTGAATTATATACCCCAGTTGCCAACAGATACTCTCATTGAAAGTAAAATTGGCACATTACAATTTTTTTTTTTTTTTTTGGTACCAGAGATGGAACTCGGAACCTTGCGCTTGTGCGGCAGGTGCCGGAATCACTGAGCTATATCCCTGGCCCTGGTACATTACAATTATTCGATAGGCATTGGTGCTGAGGCCCAGGGAAGCTGGTCCCATGGCTGGTTAGTTTTACACCCAAGGAGAGTCTCCGGATCTCCTAAACTAGATCTTTTGGTCTCTTGATGCTCAGCTTGTCTTTCCCTTGGGTGCTTTTGGGTTGAGATTGCAGTTACCCAGGTTCTCAGATATGGTGAGGAAACTGAATTGTCCCTTTTGTGCATTAACTCATCTTAGCTAGTCCTGTCCTCTTTAGCAAGGGAAACTAGTTGGTTCCTGTCCTTCTGGAATCATTTTCTAACACAGTGGGCCGAAATTGCACCTTCTCATTCTGCTAACCTGTCCTAGCTAGCTTCCCAGATAGCTTCTGTTACAGGGTCAGCAAACTTTTTCTGTAAAAGCCAGGTGATATATTCTGCAAGACATGCAGTCTGTGTCCTGCTACTCAACTCTGCCATTATAACTTGAAAGCAGCCATGGAAGGTATATAAACAACTAGCCATGGCCATGTGTCCATGGAACTTTAATTATGGATATTGGAAGATGAATTTTATATAATTTTTATGTGTCATGGAATATTATTCTTATTTTGATTTTGTTTCCAGCCATGCAAAATGTAAAACCATCCCCTAGGACATGAGCCATATAAAAATAGGTGACAAACTGAATCTGCCCCAAAGGTCATAGTTTTTCAACCTCTGTTTGGTTCTATGACTGTTCATTTCCAAAGAATAACTTTTCAGGGCATTTCTACCTTTATGAAAAAATTGCTTTCTGACTGGCAGAGTTGGATCATATCTCCACTGTGAATGAAGCCGGTAACTAACATATTCTGACACTGGCATTGTATTTCATAACAAATAATTGTGTCTCACTTTGTGGCCCAAACCAGAAAGTAAGAAAAGTAAGCCACGTTTTTCTCTAGTTAAAAACTTTCTACAGGAAGATGCCTATAATCACAGCTCTGTGGAACGCTGAGGCAAGAGAATCACAATTCAAGCCTAGCCTGGGCAACTTAGTGAGATCTTGTCACGAAATAAAAAATTTGTTAAAAAAAAGAGTTGGAGATGTAGCTTAGGGCAAATAGCCTGGGTTCGATCTCCAGCACTCACAAAAAAGAAAATAAAAC